CCACAGCAGTTTACCTAAGAAGATCAAGTAAGAAAATCTTTTTTTTTTTTGCTTTCAATTGGTGAAACAGAAAATGTGTTTGGCAGATGCTGACACATGGATCTCTCTAGGCTCCCCAGAAAGCATGCAAGTATATGGTTATTACCTCCTTAGAGGCTATAAAATGCCTGAATTTGAAGGCAAAATTAGCTGCCAGCAGAATTCCTAGTTTTCATCAGTTTTTGTACGTGGCCTAATCAACTGTTACCTTTGTGCAGGACGTCAAGTCCCTCCTTGCCCTACCTATGCCCTGCAAACATAGAGTGGGACGCCGGGAGAAGCGAAGCTGCTGCGCTAGGGTTTCCCCTGAGTCGTGTTGCCCCACTGGCCACAAGACAAAGCAAAGCAACAGGACAAATTAAAGGATTTCAGGGGAGATGAAGAATAGAGTTTGGGACTATTTTGCTTTAGTTTAATCTGCCATGAGGCTCCCATATCTTGAAGCCTGAGGTGGCCCCATTTTGTTCAATATATTTTAATTACTGCATTTAAATGTGTGTGTAAAAAACAAAGCAACAAGAACTCATCTGCATGAAACCAAATTTCTTAACGTGAACTCTTAACGTGATCCCATGAATTTCTTACATTGTTGTGTCCCATGTACTAAGGGTCCCATGCAGAGAGCAAACAATACAGCAGTGAGAAGACAGATGCTCTGCTAATGGGAAACCAAGGAGGAGAGAGTCTGTGAGGGATTACAGGCAGCCTGGGGTCGGAATACATTATTAGTGCAGCACCCAATCCAGAAATTGGTTTTCAGAATTAAATGTCTGAAGCCTTTTGGCAAGAACTCCTGATCATCTCTCTTAAGAGCCTTCAAAGCACGGAGGAGCGGGAATCTCAATTCCAAGCTGAACCGCCGCATTCAGGGACTCTGCAGTGCTCTAACAGTAGCTGTGCTTATTACAGCTTCGTGCCCTTGTGCAGCAGCCACAGCCTCACCTACTGAAATGCGTAGCCCCCTCGGCCTGTTTGCATAAACCTGCAGCAGGTTTCACACATCCCATCAAAGAAGCAAGTGGTTTGAATGAGATTCCAGGGCCTGTTTCCAGGAGGAGGGTTTTGTTTGGTTGCGTGCAGAGCAGCAGGGAGGCGCAGCGGCCTCTCCTTGGGCACGGCCAGGCATGTGAGGGCGCAGGAGCAACGCGTCTTTGCAGAGATCCGACGTTGCCTAAGGTGGAGACTTGGGGTCCTGAAGCCTTCGTCAGGCCTGCTGCTTTCTGAATGTTTGTGCTTTTGAAAGTGGTGATGAGAACATCAAACTTTAAATGATCCTGGGTAGACAACCAAGATTGGTTAAAGGATTGAGGGCAGACAGGAGAAATTGTTTCTCATAGTAGCCAGTGGGATTATCCTCCGTGCATAATTTGTTCATTATATGCTCAAAATTCATTGTTAATTTCCTTTGGATTTATTGCGCATTTGACAGAAGAGTTCATAAACCCAAAGATTATCACAGGAGGATGCTAACAGGCCCAAATATTCAGGACAGAGGGAGACTTGTTTTCTTCTCCCATTGAAACAAAGACTTCTGGAGAGAGTCACTTGGGATTTTTTGCCTGTTTGATAATCAAAAGTATAGTAGACAGCTAACAAAAGAAAAATTCATGCAGCCAAGCCTTGTACTTTATTTCTACTCTTCTCTTCTAATGTAATTAACATATTTCTCAAGGCTTATTCAGCTTCTCAGAATCTTACATTATATAGATATCATTGGGGAGCTTGATTATGAAGGTCTTGATTCTTGCAGGTTGACTTTTTATTACGCTGAGAGAGAGATAAGGACAAGTAAATATATGGGAGAAAGCATTTTTGAACAAACTAAGGAATAGGGAAAATAATATCAGTTTTGCAATATTCATCTGCCTTCTTTGTGTGTTGGTAACTGTCATCTTATTTCTAACTCATATAAGTGAGAGTAAAGGCTATTGTTTTATTTCAAGCTTTGATTTTCAAAACTGTCCTTTTCTAAAAGCTTTTCAAAATTTTTATATAAGCGTAATCAGAATCTATAAATGAATATTTATTAATGTTAAAAATTGTAGTCCTTATTTGTTATGGTTACATATGGTCTGTAGCCTCATGAAAATTTCTGCCTAGTTTGAGATTGGCCTGCATTTACATTTTCTTACTGGTCTGCCTGCTAAATAGTTGTTTGGTTTTATTTGTTTCTTAATGGCACCCACAAGGACCTTATAAAGTCGGACCAGAAGTAAACCTGGTTTTACTTATGCCCTCATTGACAGTGTACATATAAAATAATGTAACTCTGGTTTGGCTTCTGCACGGGGATCCTACCTGTCAACCCAAGTTATTTCACTGTTTGCCTCAATCTGGTTTTCGGGTTTCTAGGCTGCGGCACAGGCTGTTACGCCCCAAACTTGTCTTCCTCTTCTAACTATGTCAGTAAAGGAAGGGGTGACAAGTGCAGAACAAACCCGCTTCCCTGGAGCTCACTCAGTTTGCAGGCTCGGGGCTCTGGTCCCTCTGCGCCCCGGTCATTACGGCGGCTTTGGGGGTGCTGGCAGTTCATCGCGCAGCCCTTCTGCCTTGTCTGCTGTCTGCAGCAACTGGCACCTCTGTCTCGCTGCACACACAAGATTTGTGAAGCTTAATATTTTAATCAAGTGATTCAAAGACAGAGGTTACCCATTTTAATTAGCATTTTAAAACTTTGTTTGTAAGCTCTGCTTTTAAAATTGAAAACTTAGCACAACAACCAAGTCTGAATTCTCCAGTAACAGAAGCAAACACAGCAAAGCTTAAGTTCACAGGTGAAACATAAAAATGTGAAGAAAGACATTTATTCGTTACCTATAAGCAGCAGTGACCACAGGGCTACCGTCATGTAGAAAAGCGGTGCTGCTGAGATCCGAGACTAGAATTCAGACAGATATAAAGGGTGAGGAGAGCCTAATCCAAATGTCAGCTCTTACTGAATCAGACAGTTTCACATTTGGCCAAATCAACGCTGTGATCAGAAAAGAGAACAGTGCAGTGGTAAATGAGAGTTCCCTGAGCCCATAAAATATTTTATCACTGTAGACTTGGTGCCATTTTATAAAATCTTCTTAACTACGTAATCCAGCTCTGGATGTGTTTGACAAATAACAATTCTCTTGTTAAGAACAAATCATGGTTTTAATTTAATAGGGTTAGTCATAAAGAGTGATTTTTTTTTGTCAGCAAAACTCTTCTTTCTGACAAGCAGTGTAATTTATGACAATCTAGTTAGCAATAAATGACATTAATCTGACCACTAAGCCATTCTTTTCTTGGGGAATAATGTTCTTTCTAATCAATAACTGGGTAAATGCGCCTTTGCATTCCTTATCAAATGACAGCCAGATGGTACTGGTAAATTCATTCCAGCAGGATTTTGGAATTAGCTAGGTTTGTACTATTGTTAATCCTCTGCTGTCTGCTCTGCTAGGACCTGCCCACCTGTTTCCAGTAACCCCAGAGTTCACAACCTTGGGAAATAGTCTAGCCAGATGGTTACTCAGATATAGTGCTGCCAAGAAGCATCCCAAGTAGAGAGGGGCCTTTTTTTTCCTGCCTCAGTAAGATGAAGAAAAAGCAAATACTTGGACACGAGTGCTGCTACCTGAAAGTGGGGAGATGTTTTTATGTCTAGACTTGCATGCTAGCTCCATTACACAGTTTAGGATAATACTTTGCTGAATACTTTGCTGAAACAGCCAGCTAAAATAGTCTGTCCACCTCTGTAGTTGTTCCTGAACACTCTAGACTGTTACAGTTTTATAAGACTGAGATGTATTCTTTAGTGGGTAGCAAGCAGGGAGCTGTGCCAGCTGCAGTAGCATCATTTACTGACTAGCAGATACATAAAGGTATCTTAGACCCTTCTCTTCATAATCGCTTTTGTTGCATAGCAACAATAATTTGCCCTCCAACCTATTGATCTGAAATAACATATAATCCCCTCACACCGATAAAAAGGAAAACATATGGCAGCTTTCGGCTGTGAACCAGTAGCTTTTGAAGTGAGGGGATAGTTAATCCCCACTAAATCAAGGGGGCAATGGCACAAGGCGTGCGCTCTGTAGGCTGAAGCTGCAAGGATGCATTAGATGCTCTGAGCCAGTTAACCTGGGCTCTGGCAGCAGTCCGGTTACCTCTGGCCTCCCGTTCTATGTCTTTTCTCTTAGGTGACCACAGTACTTTTCAGATGAGCTTTGCTATGACTTTAATTGCTGAAATTAAACATGGCTGTGCAGTCCTATGCAAATACCCAGGCACCCCTTCCCTCTGGCAGGAAAGAATGCATGCACAGCAATTAGATTATAGGGGACTGTAATGCGTAAGGGTAAAGTTCAGCCACTGCAAATACCAGTTTCAAAATTAAATAGCTGGAGTTCCTCAGGCCAGTGCTACCCTGTAGGGTAGTTGTCTGGTAGGTCAGTCATCTGACCTGATAACCCTGATGGTGTCTTTTTTTTCTAATGTGTCTCTAAACCTGAGGTTGAAAAGGACTTTGATAGCTGAAACAGGACCTGCTTTAGGAACCCAAATTTGCAGTTGAGATGTAAAACACTCGGGGAACTCAGAGCTTTGGTGGCAAGTGAACAGAGGCAGCTCCCTGCAGACGTGTCCCTGCCACCGAGCGCGGGAGGGCCCTGCGGGCAGCCCTGTCCCTGAGCTGGGAGGCTCCCTGCCTCCCTGCCGCCCTGAGCACACGCTCCCGGTCAGCTCTTACCTCTCTGGGGTGCATCACTCTGGCCTACCATGCAGAAGGAGCCTCAGCTCCTAAAACTGGACTTTCAGAATCACAAGGCAATTAAGTCCTGGCTCCTGGATTTTTGTCTTCCAAAACTATTGTATTGTTACTATAATATACACTATAGGCTGAAAAATAGCACAGTGTTTATGTCAGAGCTATCTTCTATGGCTAGAGAGGTGGCTTACTAATAATTCTTTCCTTTCTGTCATTTGAACAGTATTCAGGTTTTCAGCAAACAGCAGACAAGTGCTTTGTTTGTGGACACCTCATAATGGAAATGGTAAGAGACCTAAATTCCTCAGCGTTGGCTGTATTTCTTTTGATGTATTTCAGATAGTGCCCTTTGGCATATTGTGCTTTTCCTCTGACTGTTATTGTGTCTCCCATACTGTCAAGAGAAATTTTTAAATTCAGGAAGTGTCATAAATAAGCTAAAAAGTTGTATTGCTATCAGATAGGTTAGGTTGGGCTTTCCTCCCTGCTACAATGATGGGAGGCTGCTGTTCTGCAATGTCAGGTTTTCCTATCAATAAAAGATAGCCAACTATAAATTTTAATACCAAGGAGGACAAAATGCAGAACAGCTTCATAGCAGAACATGGTAAAGAAAAAGAAGAGGCTGTAAGACAATGAAATAGTGAGAGCTGTAGCCAAGGGAGCCGGGACAGACTGTTGAGAGGGTCATGTCCTCATAGCCCTGAGTTTGTTGCCAGCTCTGTGACTTGCTTTATTTACCTTCTGCCGCTTGCTCCACCTCTATATTTTTTCTTTCGCATCTGTTAAAATGCACTACAGCCACTGTCATTTGCATGCAGCCAGGAGATAGTTACTTTTATTATAAAAAATAAAGGCTGTTGGTTGGACCAGGTAGTTCTGACATCATCTCACTGGTGAAAGTATGATGAATTTAGACTGGGCTTTCTAAGCAGAAAATCCTAAACAAAACAAAGTAGACTGCACACTGAGGAAGTGCAGATCATGATATATGTACTATTATCATAATATATTGAGGTTTTCCTCTTGCTATAAAACATGTTTCAGCATCAGCATGCCTAATAGAAGTAGCTATTGAGTTGTGAACATGGAGGTTCAGTAGAAGCTGGAACAGAGACTTAACTAATGAGGATTGTGGCTCATATCCTGGCACCACTGGTGGACAAGTATATTGTTCGTTTTAGCCCAAGAGCGAAATTCTGGAGTTGTGTCATGCTGGGAGGGGAGGGTTTCTGACTGGCGTGCTTTGAGACTGCCCTTAATTGCGGGATCCCAGGCAAGGGTCCATGGTAGCTGAGTGCTGTAGTACAGTAGCTGCAAGTTTGGCAGGTGCTCACTGCCTTTCTCCCATCACTAAGTGCACTGCAGCACAAGGAAATAGCCCTGGCAGCGCTAGGAATTAAGCGCTGTTATTTGGCTAATTCCTTCCCTTTCCTTCCTGGGAGCAAGCAGCTGAGCGCTGCGCGTGCCCTGCAGCGGCACCGGCGCACGGCTGGGGAGCAGAGCCGCAACGTGGCGGCCCGACGCTGCTCAGCGGCCCCTCGGGCACCTGAACGGGCAGCTGCTCCGTGCTCACTGCTGCAGAGCTTGAGCTGGTGCGGCCTGGATAGAAACATGCCCAGAGAAGAGGATTTTTTTTTTTCCTAAAGAAGCCATTTTTAATATATTGGCCCTGTAGAACTAAGACTTGGGTTTTTAGCTTGTTTTTTCACATTCTCTCTCTTTACTGAAAGTCTTTTTATAAAACTACGGAAACAATAATTTATTGGTTTTAGAAGGGCCCCTGCTGATAGATTTGCAGAGTGATAATTTCATCCTAAGTGCATTTCTCACCTGCCTAATAAGTGCATTATTAAGAATCGGATGCAGCTGGGGGGGATTCGCATGTAGTTGTGCATCTGCTCATTTTATTTTTTGCCTCCTAAGATATTACAGGCCCTTGGAAAGTCGTACCATCCTGGCTGCTTCCGCTGCGTGGTATGCAACGAATGTTTGGATGGAGTCCCCTTCACTGTAGATGTGGAGAACAATATTTACTGTGTCAAAGACTATCACACGTAAGTACACAGGTCTATTGCATATTTTGAAAAAAGGTAATTAGATTACTGTTACAAGCCTTGCAGTAGTTTAAAAAGTGTCTGTTTGTTTGATGTCCTCTTTGTTCTAGAGTCCCCCAGAGCTTTGTGTATTTATAAGGCTTTGTGTACTTAAGCTATATTAAAGATCATTTTGTTGGTCCAGAGTGACATAGATGTGCCCAGTGAGGCTGCAAATCAAACTGTGTCAAAGTGGGTACTTCTATGGTCGTTGCTTCTCTACTTAATTTGCTAATTAAACCAGGCTAATTCTGCAAGTGATGGTAGGCTCTGCCGGCTGCTTCCAAAGGCCAGGCTCCGGCACTGTGTTGTACGTGGTACGTTAACCTGGACAGGACAGCAGACACGTAATTAGTAGCTAGTGTCAGAATGATTTTAGCCTCACTTGGCAACACATTTTTGAGGTTTAAATGATTATTGTTGGGCTCTTTTCTGCTCCCTCTCAAAGCCCCTGTGAATTAGCTTCTGTCAACCAATAACACAGCTTATGCAGTGAGAGTAAATCACTCTGCACTCAGCCCTACTGGTTTAATGGACCACGTGGCAAGAGCACAGTGAATGGTGGCCCAGTAATTGTCATAAAACATAGCTGTGGGTAAGCCCAGTTGATTTATTTGGTTTAATAAGTATATCCTAGCCAGTATCACCCTCTCTTGTATTTCTTCTTGACTGACGACAGTCCCTAAGCCAGGAGCTGCTTTCAGAGAGTCCATGGTAGACTATAAATGGCTTTATGAATAAAGGAAAGTAAAAGAAATGACATATGCCTAGAGAAGTCAGGAAGGCCTAAGCAATAAAAACGTGTGGTAGATCAGATTCTCTTCCAGATCTCATTTTCCTCAAATTTCAGTAAAATTTTAGAGATATTTCAAAATGTCTGGTTCTCTACATTTTGCTAAAAAGAAGACATGTCCCCCTCCCCTTTTTTTTAAGAAACTTTGATTGTGATTTGAACACTTTCTTCTTGCATCATAGGGTTTTTGCACCAAAATGTGCTTCCTGTAACCAGCCAATTCTACCAGCACAGGTATGTGTTAACATGCACTCAGTAGCTCCCTCCTCTTCCTCTTGCTTTGTACAGAGCCAGAGGGGGCATTGCATGGCATGCACCCTCCACCACTGCATATCATGCTCCATTTGTCATTATTAATTCTTTTAAATGGCCAGGTCTCAACTGCATTAAAAACTTCTGAAGTGTCTACCCTGCTAAAGGGGAGTGAGGTGAAAAGCGCTAAATTTCACTGGGTTTTGTGTTTAACAAAGCTCCTTTTCTGAGTGTAGCTGTCCTAATGCTGACTCATCTGATAGTTCCCGGGACAGTCTCCACCTCCCTTCCCATGGAGATTTCATAGGTTGGTTCGTGACTAGTACTGCAGGTGCTAACTTGTCCACAGCTTCACTCAGACATAGTATATGTCATATCTGAACTGGAAACAGTGCAAGGAAAAAAAATAATGAGCTCTGTCTTGAGAGCAGCTCACAAAAGGAGTCTGCAAGGTTACAAGAAGGGTATGGGCTGCTGTGCAGGGCCTGGGGCTCGGCCAGGAATTACACAACCCCACTGCCCCCCCAGTGCTGAGGCTTTGGCATGTACACACAGTGGCCTGCCAGGCTGGTATGTAAATCCCTGTGGGGTGCGTGTGTGCATGTGCAAGAGAGCTGTGCACCAGGATACAGTCCTGGAAAGATCAGGCAAGGATGTCTATAAGGGGAAGTTACCCAATCAGCAGGTCATAGTTCTTTGCTGATAATTTATTCAAATCCTGCGTGCCTTTGAAAAATAATTGGATTTCAAGAGAAATTTATTTTGGCTACGCTTCCTAAAGGTGCTCAACAACCCAGATAGGGGAGATATCCAATTGCTGCTGCACTGAAAACAGTGGTACGGTGTTATGTGCTGTGGGGACAAGACCCTGAGCTGTCACAGAGCTCCTCTACACAGGGAGAGGAGTTTCTGCAGGGAAAGAGCCTCCCAAAGCCACAGGTTGGGCACTAAAAGAATATTGACAAACACAACTCAGAAGCCCAGTCTCACACGCTGTGCTTTCCAAACAGGGCTCTGAGGAGACCATCCGAGTGGTGTCGATGGACAAAGACTACCACGTAGAGTGTTACCACTGCGAGGTGAGTGTTGAGCGTCCGCGCCCTGGAGCACCTGGCAGCTTTGCAGAGGGTGTGAGCAACGGCCCTGCTGCACGAGGCAGGGTGAACGCAGCAGCGACCTGGTAGCCAAGCTGCAAGTGGTGCTGTCATCTCCACTAGCATGAAATTAGTTTCTTTATTTTCAGTAAACTGATTTCAAAAGCTGACTGCAGGACACTTAAATATTTATGGAGGCAGAGACACCAAGCTGTGGAATACGTTTGTTTCAAAGGGAGAAGGGCTGAGTTCAGTCTTAGCTCTGTGTCAGGCAAACAATCTCTTTAATTTGGGATCAACCACAAAATTCCCCTTTACTATTGGCTTGTCTGATGCAAGATGAACCTATTGCCATCCAGTTGCCAGTGTGACTTTTGCTAGCTCCAGAAGCAAAAATGAAGCAAACCTCCTTCCATGCACAAGAGGATTTTATAAAGAGAGTTTTTAAATGAGGAAGAAAAGAACAAAATTTAGGGCATCTTGAAATGTGTATGAACCTAAATGTGAGGAAGAGTCAGTCCAGTCAGCTATCTCTTTCAAATGGAGACCGCTGATACTTCATAATTTCCTGTTAATTTTTAAGATAGTTTGGCAGAGAAAATCTAAGCATTTTTAGGAGCTAGCTGTGCTTCCCTCCTCCTTTCCCCATCTATTGCTTTGTGCAAGCTTCATCTAAGATGACAGCTCCCTCCCCTTCCCTCTGAGCCTATCGACTTTATATTAGAATGTCCCAATGGGGGTTTATTTCCAGTTCTATTTCGTTATTCAGCTCCCCATTCTCCTTCCAGTTTGAGGCAAATCAAGCTGCCTCCACAGCTGCCCAGATAGGGAAGTCATTACTGCATTACATACAGAAATTAAGAGGTTAGCCTTGTATTAAGAGGGGGTAGATTGCTGCCTAACAGACTCAAATTAGGCTCTCAAATTGTACACACTGAGATATGGATATTTCCAAATCCTGCTAGTTAAAGTTAGTGCCACTATTTTAGGTATTCAAATAGACACTTTACAAAGGTCCAATCTCTAGGAAAACTTAACCATCATCAACTGCTAGCCATGCAAAGCAAGGAATCATTATGGAAGCTTTGCTGCTTTTCCATTTTTTCTCTTTCTTGCATTACTACTTAACTTCTATTTTGAAGCTCAAGTCAGATTGCAAGTTAATGCTTGGTCTGCTTTTGTCTACTTTGCATCAGCCTTTGCTAGATAGAGACTAGAATAGGATTCAGTGAAAATAAATGCTTGACCCAGGCCAAGGTAATGCTATAGACTGTCCTGTTAGATTTCAGTGATGACAGTTTGCTTAATACTCTTAGACAGTCAATGTCCATCTACCACAAACACTTAAGGTTGCTGCCTTTACAGGTATCAAGGGAAGCTCTCAGGATCATGCAAGACAGTTCAGCACTGTTAGGACTTACCTGAATCACTCACTCATCTAGGATGTCTGTTTTTCTTCTAGGATTGTGGTTTGCAGCTCAATGATGAAGAAGGTCATCGTTGTTACCCATTAGAGGGCCACTTGCTCTGCCACAGCTGTCACATTAGGCGCCTTAATATTAAATTGCCATCACATCCACCTCCAAGCTACCCAATGCATGTCACAGAACTCTGAAGGACGTTTTCCATTTACCATAAGCCCTGTAAAAGAGAAGACATCTAAATATTACTTTCACATTCCCTTAAAGATGAGATGCGTGTAATAACCATCTAAACCAGCTATTTATTTTTTAAATCAAAGGTGAGGGGTCCTTTCTGATCTTGTACATATGCATTCTTCTATCTAGACATTTTCACCAAGACACTTTCTACTTGAACAAATAATGCACCACTAAGCTGTAACTGTAAATGGCAGCATTTCTAGGAACGCTGTTACAAAGGGCTGTTCTGCGCTCCCTATTCACTTCCCTTCAATGGAGGTTTTGCCCAGGTAAGCAGTGTAGAATTATTACCCAAAAGTTAGCACCTTATCATATCGCAGCAAGCACGATAAGATAAATGCTAGCATTTTAGCTAGTTTCACTGCATTCTGGTCTTAGAGAATACAGTCTCATGTTTTTTTAAAATTTAAGATTCCCAGAGGTAGTAAATAGTAAATTAGTAGTTTTAGCAATGACAATTTTCAGCGTGAGTTAAATAGCAGTATTTTATGAAGACGCTTCAGGCCAACTTTCCATCCTGCTTGGTTCCACAGTCATCCAAAGACTATAGCTTGTTAAAGAAATATGGCAGGTATCTCAATATAGAAACTACATAATAGAAGAACATACCCCTTTGAAGAGCTAAAAGATTGGTACATGGAGGGTTGTAACAGCTGAAGAAAGTTACAGACCTCTGTTATTACCTGTCATGTATAAGAGTAACCATGGTTTCAAAACACATTCATATTGCCTTGATGATTTGGCACTTACTAAAAAAAAAATCATTTTTAAAATCTATTCTTTTGTTAATAGGGTTAACAGCCCCTTTGGCTATGCAAAGTTTCACTTGTCTTTATGCTACTCGTTTTATACAAGACTTCATTTGTTACCAACCACTTTACAATTGTATGTTGAAACATTATAAAAAGAGGGGCAGTGGTTTTGTATTATCCTTGCAGCTTTGTGTTCTAGATGTGCTTTTGAACTGATTACAGTGATTGTCTTCATTTGAAAACAAAGTACAGTTTAGCAGAAATAATAATTTAGAAAGTCAGACAATTGAAACATTGGTATTTTATAACAAGTATTAGATGTACATAGAATGTACACACGTTCCTATTTTGCATAAGCTTTTACAGTAACCTCAGAGCTCTGGGGAAATATATGTCTTCCATATAGGAAGTTAGATGAATCTTTTTTATGGTTTGTTTTCTACCATGTGTTGATGATTTACATGCAAATCACACATCTGTATGTTTAAAAAAATTCCTTGCATTCTCATGAGAATTGATCCAACCTTCCTGAATTTATATTTTAAATAAATCCATCATTGCTGTCTTTAACTGTATTCAAAATCACAATAAAATAAAATTCTTCTGCTCTAGAGGAAGTGGAAATACAAGACCAGATTCTCAGCATGTGGAAATGGAGACACTTCCACGCCAGCTCACAACAAGTCGAGAATCTGAGGAATCAGTTCTGAAATGATCACGTGTTAAACTCAACACACAGACTGATGAAATGACTTGACGTATTTGGCAAGGCCATTGCCACTTAGTTCCTGTGTTCTATTGATTTTTTGAAAGCCATTTCTGGTGCTGTTGAAAAGTGCAAAGGACATCCAAAAGACACTAATTCTTAAATGGAATAATTAACTCCCTTAACGGAACTGTCTGGTAGTCCTTTTTTGGGGAGGTAAAGGGAGGGACTGGAAAAAATCCTGTTAAATATTTTTTTTTCTCTTAGGAAGAAACAAAGGGTATATTTTCCTGAACTTTTGCCAAACTTCTTTTGGCCTAGATTCACCCGTCCTACTGAGTGCTCCTTGGCAAGTCACATGCCCCTTTAAGCAGTCAATTTAGTAATTAATATGTACCAGTTTATAATTAATATATTTAAGACCCATGTTTTGAAGGAGTTACAGTGCAACTAGTGTCCTGCTGCTGCAGTGCAGCCTAGGAGGCCTGGCCTGCAGAAGGGTGAGCGCTGGGAGCCTGGCAAACATCTGTGCGCAGGCGCTGGGCCCACCTCAAAGGAGGCTCAAAGTGCACGTGAGCCTCACATGCCCCAGCTGCAGATTCCAACACGGGAAAAAGTTGCCTTGAACTGCATTATATAGATAGGTCCAATTCCTTGTGGTTATTACATAAAAAAATACCAAATGGAATGTGTCAGAGCTGCAAGATAAACTTTTAGCACCATTTATAGTGTAATACTTTTTGATTTAAGGAAGCTGCTTTGGACATTTAGCTTTGAGGCATTTTTGTGTGCTTGTCTTTACAATGTGTTTTACGGAAGCCAATTCAAAAAAAAAGGAATGTTAAAAGACACAGATAGGGTTTGAGTCTGCTCCTCTGAGCAATTCATCCCATAACAGATTTGATATTGAAAAGTGCTTTGCTCAACCAGCAATGGGAGCAAAACCTGTGGAGTCACAGAAGCCAGAGGTGAGACATTTACTGTGGGTGGCTTTCAGAGCACCCCCTGTCACTCTCCTTCAGCCAGTCACCCATTAATTTGTCTGTCTTCCTTATAATTCTACTCAGTTCAAATGTGTCAAGTATCATCACAAGAAACTATCTAAAGCTCCATACAGAATAAGCAATGTGCTTAAAAACAGAAAGCAGCAGTTTTTCTCCCAGTATTTTTCCAGACAGGTGCATTCTGTTACTGTACAATAAAATACAGCTTTGTTTTTCCAGCCTCTAATAGGAAATCTGGTGCTTGAGTAAAATTTGTCAGTTTTTGATCAAGGAACAGAAAAAAATAAACTAATAATGGTGTGCTGTACTGTGTAGTGTTAGGGGCAGTTTCTGTACGTTTTACCTCCTGTCTGGAGAATTATGTAAATGAGAAAGCTTCTTTTAGTGGTTTCCTTAGGGCGTATTCTTACATTAAATCAGTTCAACACTATCACAGACTTTCTAGAATTCATTTTATGATGTGATTAGTCGGCAGAAGCCTTGTCTATGTCCTGAAGTTTCGAATATTTCCATAAATTTACTACAGTAACAACTTAGTCTCACTTGTACAGGAATACACCCTGCCACCATGGTAAGGCAGCCTTAAACACCCCACAGGACGTAGCTGTTCAAGGAGATGCACAGTCCCTAGTGCACTGCAGGACGAGTTCCAAAGCAAGGACCAAAATAATAATTTGTAAACAAAAGACCAACACATTCAGATAATTGAGCATTCAAAAAGGGGTTGTTTGGGTTTCTTTTCCTTTCATTTGTGCAGAGGTTGTGTGTGTGTGTGTTGTAAGGTGGTGCTTCAGAAGGAAAGCGTGGCTAGAGGAGCTCTTTAAGACCAGAAATTCCAGAGTAGTTAAGTAAACCAAAGCTCTAAAGGAGAGAAAAGCTGCTTTCTTGTGTTTCAAGAAAAGTTGAAAAGTTTGTGATTCATCCTGTAACTAATGCCGTAACTAGAGTATATAATTTGACTTAAATTAAGTTTTCATTTGAGAAATATTTTCATTTTCTTTAAAAGAATATAGTTTTCTTCCAAGAACTTGGACCAACATTGATTTCTATTTTGTAGTAAATATATAAATTCCCAGTTTGTATATCATGTAACTAAGTTTACATGCTGCAAATATACATTAGTTTAACTATTTTTGTATATATATATATATATATACACTTGTAAAACCTTTCAATGTGCTTCTGTCATTTAGTCTTCAGAATTACTTGTGGGTTTTTTGTGTTTCAGTGTTTGATTCCTTTGATTGTTGAAGAAAAAAAATGGGAAATGTAGATTTATTTATCTAAAGAAGAAGCTACTTGCTATCATCCTAAGTTATTTAATATTAAAGTCAGAAGTTTCACTTAACCTTAGATGCTATAATCTGCTTTTTTTCCAATAAAGACATTTTGTAGTTATGTTTGATTTTGTAATTTGTTGTATACAAGTAAATATTTTTATCAAGGTGGGCACTAAAGCATTTTCAGGAGACCCTTGTATTGCCTACAGACGTGCCTAACTGACATTAATTGACTGCAGCTGCATGCATGAAACATTTTGGTCCTCCAGTGCAAGTGTTACTAATTAAGTTCTAAATTATGCCCACAACTAATGTTTTACAGCTGCACTTAGAAAAGAATTTAGCCACTCTGGCAATTTTTAATTAAGCTTTAACCATTCTCGCTAATTCACACCTAGGACAATCAGTATTGAGGAACACTTCCTTTTTAAGACTCCCGTTACTTCTTGTAGTTTTCCAGAAGAGAATTGCCTGAGCTATATATCTGCGTGCGCAGGGTTTAACACAAAGACCTCAGTTTGGGGAAGCTTCTCACATTTCTTCCGAAGTCACAGTAATTACAGAACCACTAAGTAACAGCAGCCAGAGTTCTGACAGAATAAGAGAAGATGCTTTTTAAAGAAGAAAAAAGATACATATTTTACCTTTTTGAAGCTCTTTCCCTCTTTCATGCATCCAGCTTCATGGCACATCTGAGCATATGGAAGCCTGATCACATTTACCTCCAGACAAGTGGTCCTGCAAGAGCAGCTCTGTCAGGTAAAAGGTTCATCCAGTGTCTTTCCTCCAACACTGATGCCTAGGGAAGAGTTTAAGAAAAAGTTTATTTCTGGCTCTTAGTTATTCTTTTTTTTTTTTTTCCCATACGCAGGTCAATGGCTCCATCCCTACAGCTGCCATTCCCAGAAGTTCCCAAGCTGACACTTTCATGCACTTCCTCCCTCTCCTCCAAAGGTGTCTGCTACAGCTAAACCACTGGCACTTTGCAAAGGTTGGAGAGCAGGCCCCATTTGGAAATGAAGCTGGCTCGTGTCTATCACACAGTGGCTATTTTGGCCAGTTCCTCTGTTGTGACTTCTCTTGCCTGGTTAGAATAGAAAGAGTTGTGAATGCTGCAACTGCCTTAGGAACATAGTCTCCAGTACTGTACTTTAAAACAGATGTAGCCCAGTTCCACAAAGTCTTCAAATGCTTCAAAATGCTATTTTTTTCAGTCCCCTATTTTTTTTACTTCGTTCAAATGAGTAATTCATGTCTGCCTTAGGAGGGAAAAAAAAAAAAAAAAAAAAAAAGAGCTCAAGTGACCCCTGCTTAGGAAGGGGCCACAGCTCATTTGTCCCAGTAGCAGCTCCCAACCCTCCCCTCCAAAAAAAAAAGCTCACATATATTAACTTATTGTGTACATTACATATAACATTCTAAACTTACACAATAAATAAAAAACAAATCTACTTTTAGCTATGTGAGCTGAAGGGTTACTGTGCATAAAGAGCTCATTTTAGGCAGAAACAAGACACATAGTCCCTGGTGAAGGATTACAATGTATTTTTGAAGTACCCCAATATTACTCTATGGAGACAGAAACTACTACTTGCACATAGATAGGGATGTTTCACCACACTTAAGTGTCTGGAAGTGTACGTTATTCCTACTGCCTCACAAGCTAAAGGTTGGGTACTAAATACGGCACCTCAGCAGTGAGGAGCCCCTCCTGGTTGGTGCTTCAGCCAGTGCCCAAGGACACGCTCTCAGCCACGCAGTGCAGCAGGCAGAGACATGGCCTGGCACGGCCGCTGCAGGGCACCACGCAGCCGACCTGTGGCACGCTGGCCTGGGCCTGGCCCCTGCGCTGCTTCTGGCCTCCAGCCCTGCAGCCGCTACCTGTCACCGCTGCACCAAAGCGCAGGCCAAAAGCACAGGGCAAGATGCAGCATCCAAGAGCCTTCCTGTTGGTTGCTCAGGTGAAAGTGCTGTGTGTTGAGCTAAAATCAAGGCGAGCTGCCACCGGAGGGGCCACAGAGTAGGCCCTGTGCCTGCCAGCCTTGTGCTTGCTGCCAAGCACACCAGCTCTGAAGGACATGGGAATGGCACCAGCAGGAGTTTTCCAGTGGAAATATCAAAGTTATTTCAAAACAGATGCCCCTGAGGAGCATACGCAGCCCTTGCAAGTGCCTCCCCCCGCAGCACAAGGCCAGTTCCCAGCGTGCACTGACCCGGCAGGCGCGGCGCGGCCGTGGGAGGCCGCCAGCAGCACTGTGCATGTCCCCATGCCAGGCAGGTCCACCACCTTGGCCGCGCCACTCGCCAGTGGCTCCTGCACCAGCAGTGCCCACAATGGGGCTGCCCTGCTCGTTCCTGCAGCTGCAGAGCACCTGGGGGCTCAGCTGGCTGTGCGGGAGCTGCTCCAGGTTTCCACCGTGTGACTCTCATTTTTTTCTGTCGTGGAAGCTTCTGGAAGGTACTAAAAATAAATCTGTTTGGGTTTTTAGCCTAATCTAAATACATTTGTGTTGTCTTTCAGGATGGCACTGCCCCCTTGTCCCTACTTGCCAACAGATTTTTCAGCCATTAAGAATGTTCTGCATGCACAGAAATATCTCGGGTTATTTTTCCCATAATCAAAAGAAAACAAATCCCAGAGCAGGCCTGGCAGGCTGCTTCCGGCCAGCCCCACTGCCCCTGGAGACCCATTGCCTTTTGCTGCTGACTTGCCCTGCAGAGGGCAAGCAAGACAGTTTGCTTTTGATACAAAATTAGACACTATTTTCCCTTCCGAAAAACAAACTCTTAGCCAACTACTTTTAAACATATTCCACCTAATGTAGATGTAGGTGAGCAGCTTGGATTGTATAAAGTAGTATTTATGTTCTTACTCCCCCTCCTTGCCCGCCATCACATTAATTTGAGGCATTCCCAGCTAACACAGCAGGCTCACATCGTGCTGCAACACTGCAGACACAGCTCAAACCAGAGTGAGGGCACCAGGAACCCTCTCCTGCTGCTGCTTGTTTCACATGCTTCCCCACAGGCCCCTGCTGACTGTAAGGTCGCTCTTTAGGAAGAGCTGTTATCTACCACCATATCCTCCTTTATCTCCTTAACACCCTCACTTCACTAAATGAACTTTCCAGTTAGGAATGGCAGCACACTATGGATACCATGTGTAGCCATCTATCTGGTCTCAAAATCTTACTTCTGAAGGCAAAAAGCTAATTTTCTATTGCAAAGATGACATTCCTGCAGGCCTACAACTAAAAGGTTACAAATAAACACCACCAAATCTTTCAGTACTGCCAAAATCACAGTCTAATGTAATGGCAGTTCCACCATAGGAAATATTCCTTACTGAAGTCTAGCACAGAAAGTCATTTAAAAAAAAAAAAGCAGCTCCTAGCAGTAGCCCACCTGCAGTGGATTTGCTTTGCTAAGTATAAATGAAGAAGATTCACAACCAATTCACACCAGTTTACTCAATTTAGCGTTCCCCACCCAGTATAGATAATACTGGTGAGAGAATCACTAGCCGTGCGTGTTGATTAACGCTTCTGAAATGCTTTGCACTCTGTGTGATGGAGCATTTAGTGACAGACCACAGAGCGGCACCTCTAGCCTCGGGTCTGCGAGGCCAGATGAGTCATCGTGGCCTCTCTTTTCCACGTCTGATCAAGTGTGCAAAACCCTGGGTACAAACACTCATGCACGTTACTGTTATTTCCTGGAGATATTCATTCAAGAGCACTCAGAGAGAGCAGGCATGAAATAAGGCTCTCAAAGAGACATCGCTTAAGCATTTGGGCAGCAAGTTATAGAAAATGTTTGGGGCTCAAAACCAACCTTTCACCATATACCTAGGGTACCCCACACAACAGAGACCTAATTTATTCCTGAGGACCCTTTACATCCTACTAACTTTTCATTTTACTCAACTCTGCTAATTCATTAGATGTCATGTCCCACCTTCAGCATTTACAGCAACGGTGAGCAGGCCAAGATCTCATCCTCAGGTAGACTTCTTCCTTTAAAAAGGAGAATATCATTGCATTGGATGTGCAGCCACTGGAAAAGGGTATTTTGTGCCATTATATTTTCTCAGGGCAGAGCTGCACAAACTTCAGAGAGCTCCAGAGAAGTGGGAAGCAGCTTTGTTCGCTATAAAATATTCAGGTGAAGCTCATTTCAAGGATCTAGGCTGCAAACAGCTCCTTCACTGCAAAGAAACAACCAGAGTGCACCATGGAGCTTCACCAGTCACATCCTCATGGGGTTTTACAAACGCAGAGCTCCTATGCTAGGACTTGATATCCCCCTTGAAGGTGAACCCAGTTCTCAAGTGGCTCTATGCTGCAAGCAGGATGGACTGGAGGCCCAACTGGGTGCCACTCCACAGACCACGGTGTCTGCAGCCACTGATCGACGTTAAGAACCAACAAAATTTGTTGGTTTCCTAACACTAAAAGAGGAGAGTCATATTGAGAAAAGTCTGGGGAAAAGCAGCACCTTTTCTGCTTTGAGAATGGCCTGTTCCTTAACTTTCTTTCCGAACTTCATACAGACTGCCGCAGTCCTCCCTACAGCCACCTAGTGCTGAAAAAAAAAAAAAGTCTCTGCTTTTGTGACCATCGTCTGCAGTGCTGTAAGTATGTGTACTTCAGGCTAAGAGTCTGACTAGAAGGAACACAGGGCAAGACTCGGCAAAAGTCAAGACTGTGCCCGTCCTGTGCCCAGGTA